TTACGAGTTGAGGTAAAATGAAAACGTTGAGATTGACGACGAACCACGATGACGATGATAATAATGATGATGATAAGTGAGAGTCACGTCATAAAAAATGTGAAAAAACTAATTTTACAGCGAGAGAGAGAGAGAGAGAGAGAGAAAGCGGAAATGAATGACGTACACCGTAAAAAAAAAAAAAACAATTCGTTTACGTTGACGAGATGTAAAAAAAAAAAAAACCTTTAAAAATAATAGTGTTGATAATGATAATAATAACAACGACATTTTAAAACTAATTTTAAAATTTATTAAATAAAGAAATAATGATAATAATAATAATGAAAAGAAAGAGGAAGAAAGTAATAAGGGGGAAAAGGTAAAAAGAAGAAAAATTACGGTAATAATAATATGAAAATAATAAAAATGACAAAACGAGAATGAAATAATAAAAGAGAGAGGGGGAAAGAGAGAGAGAGAGAAGGGGGGAGAGAGAGGGAGAAAGGAAGGAAGGGAGGAAGGAAGGTAGGAAGGAAGGAAGGAAAAAAAAGAAGAAGAAGAAAAGGAAAATTTAACTTTTTAATTTTTCTTTTCTAAAAATTTAAGCATCATTTTTATTAATGTCTTAAGGGTAGAAAATTATCTTCCCTTAGTTTAAAAATTTTATTTTCTAAGCCTTTTACCCTCTCTACCTATTCAAATAATTTTCTACTTCCTTTTTTTTTTCTTCTTTTTTCTTTTTCTTTCCTTTCCTTTCCTTTTTTTTTTTTTTTTTTTAATACTTAAATAGACTTCAATAAAAAAAAAAAAAAAAAAGTTTTTTAAATGAGAAAAAAAAAAAAAAATGTAAAACTATGTTTCGACGAGCTGAACAAAAATATTAAATTAAAAAGAATTTAAAAAAATATGCGTGAAACATTAGCGATAACGTAATAAATATTATTATTATTATTCTTTGTTTAATAAATATTATTATTATTACTGTAAAATGGCGGCGCTCAAACGAGTACGTACTCGAACGATAAAAAAACAAAGCAAAACGGTTAAATTGTAATTCGAATGACGACGACTTAATGATCGACCAATCGGATTCGATCTCCAGAATTGCATTCAATTTTTATAGGACGAAATAAGTCCCACGTGATTAATGTCGTCATCAATTGCGTTTTTAACGTTTTTTTTTAATTTTAAAAAAATGTCACATTTCTTAATGATTCTGTTAAAATGATTTTTTAAATTTGGAAAAGAGCGCGAGTCGTTTCCGTTTCTGTTTTCGTTTCTGTTTCCGTTTCCGTTTTGTACATTATAATGAAATGTCGTGTTAACAACATCTAAGACGTTTAATAATTGATTTTCTAAATTATAATTTGACAGATGGACATCTCAACGGATTTGTTTAATTTAATACGCGGCGTAATAAATTTCGAATAATTTAACGTGTAAGTAGTAGAAACACGTTTTGCGCCATAATTAAAACGATTTAAAATAAATTAATAATAATAATCGAATCGATGAAAACGTAACGATTTTGTAAAAGAAAAAATAAGAAAAAAAAATCAAGTTAAAGGGGGAAGGGGGAACGGGGAAATAGAAGAAAAGTTGAAAAAAGTAAAAAAAAAAAATAAAATAAAATAAAAAAATCTTAAAATGAGAGAAAAAAAAAGAAAAAAAAAAAAAAATTTAAGGCGAGTTGTCGTCATCTCAAAGTCTAAATTTAAGTTAAAAGTAATTAGAGCTTAGATTGTCGGCCGATGTTTTTCGAGAGCGGAAAATCCCATGAGAAGCTTCGTTGTCAGTTTTTCCCTTTTATATTTTCCTTCCTTTTTCTTCTTTCCTTTTTTCCCACCCCCTCCCACCCCATTCATCCTTTTGCCCTTTTTTTTTTTTCTTCTTCCTCTTCTTTTCCTTTTTTCTACGATGATTTCTCTCTCTCTCTCTCTCTCTCTCATATAAACATTCGACGGTTAAACGATATTAAACGAAATAAAAGAAAATGGTAAATTTTTCATAAAATGAAATTTATCGTTATTATTATTATTATTATTATTATTATTCATTCGCATAAAACAAACATTTTTCGGTAATGAAAAATTGTTAAAATAATACAATAAAATTCCACCTGTTTAATTGCTACATGCATCTAAACAATATGGAACCCTCTTTTTCTTTTTTTTTGTAAACAACCCTAAAACCGCACAAACACAAACAAACAAACACACGCACGCACACCTGTCATCATCATAAAAGTAAAAATCCAAACTAAAGTAGACAAAC